GTGTGTACAGGTGAGCGTGTAGCTCGGTGAGTGAGCGTCTGGGTGATTTGCCACAGTGTAATGGTTAGCACACTGGATTTGCGATGATCCTAAGGTCACCAGTTTGTTTCTATGGCAGTTGAAACAACGGTGCAAATCTCTCGAATTCCCCCCCCCCTACTGCCTCTGCCCAGCTAGTAATGTAAATGTTGTACAGCACAGTCCAAGGGCAGGCTGCGTGTGGTGGGTAAAGTTTGGGTGCGCCGATCTCTTCATACCAATAACCCGACTGGAAACGATAACCACTCCCTGACTTTCAGAACTGGTACTTGATTCTGAAAATGGTTGCAGGCTTATTGGTTACTGTTTAACAACCCTACCATGTACACTGGTACTCAGAGTGCTGGGAGCTCACTGAATGCATGCACTGTATGAACTCTTCTCTTGGTCTGGCTGGGACTGTAGGGTCCAGATGAAGTGGACCTGCTGCTTGGTGTTGAGCGGAAGCAGCTGGCAGAGTTGGAGAGTGTCCTAGCAGAAACGCTGCTGCGCGCTGAAGCCTTACAGCAAGTATGTCAGCGTATCGAGCAGTACAGCGTAGCACACTGCAACACTGGTTTATTATTAATAGAGTGCCCCCTTCACACCGGGGTGACTCAGAGCACTTTACAAGCAGTAAGCAACTTGCATCATATCTATGGGACCTTTTTGCCCAGTATCAAGAATAATGAAAAATAATCATAGGTTTTACCCTTTCTGGCAATACACCAGGAGGTTTGTAGATATTCCAACACCAAATAGATACCTTTTGCAAACATGCTCTGATAATGTATTATTTGTCCTTGAAACTGATTTGCCTACACCAGAGACAGCCTTCTTTATGGCCTTGTCTGAGCAGTTTTAGACCAGAGAACACCAAAAGGTACACAGTACAAGTGTAGTGGGTTCGAATTAGGTGCACACACACGCAGCTTGGAGGCAACACTATTTATTAAACGGTAAGTAATATAACACTGTACATGAGGTGGTGACCACCTTCCTCAACTCACTAACACTCTGGAACACGACACAGACTGGACCAGGCAGGCAATGGCCTGCCTGGCCCAGGACGACGACCCGGGACTTGAGGACCGATATGTCTTCACTTCAGAGTTCAACAGCCTCGCTCTGCGTTCACACCACGCTTATATCTGCTCTGGCGTGGCCGGCTCCGCCCAGGCATGGCTGGCTCTGTCCAGGCCACGCCTCCCTTCCCAGGCCACGCCTCCCTTCCCCCACCTCTGGGAAGGTCCGGGTCCCTCCACCACGTGACCCCCCAGGCACCCCCTTGGGGCCCCCAGCCCTCGTACGGGCCGACACAGTAGTGACCGTTCTATGTCACTACATCACCCCCCCCCCCCTGTATAAACACACAGCCGTCCCCGGCTGTAACACAACTGTGAAGCATCGAAAAGGTGTGCCTCCGAACCAGCAACATCAATAAATGACCGGCGACCGATAAGAAATACAATCACGTAATATATACAGAATCGACGAGGGTAAAAGGAAGGGAACCGCATAGAAAACGGGGAATTAACAATAAATATACATGAAAACTGGCTAACCCACTTACGCTCCAGCACAGCCTCCCCGTGAGAATCACGCATGCACCGACATGTAAGTGTGGCCATTGGAACGACGGCGTAGGCAATGAGCAAGGCATCTGAGAGCCATTTAGAGCAGCCAGTCTTCAACGAGTCCATGTGGCTGGGCCCCCCAGGGGAGGTGCACACACCCCCCCTGGAGGCCCTGGGGAGCCAGAAGTGGCCCAAAGGGCACGGCCCCTCCCCAGGAGTCAAGAACAGGAGGAGCAGGAGTAGCTGACGCATGCTCCACTTCCTCCCCCCCCAGTCCATAGCCGGTCGGCATAACCGGCGACTCCAAGGTGCCAGGTAGATACTGCCTCCTGTGACGAGAACAAACCCTCCTGAGGCATCACTCAACGAACACTCGCCTCCGCTCTTCGGACATGACAGTCACCCGTTAGCACCCCCCCGCCTTCCTGACGTGGCGTCTCGATCCTAAAACCGTGCACGTCGGCCATATCTGGGGGGGAATTTCCATGTTACCACCCCACCGCCTTTCCGACGCGGCGTCACAACCAGTAGCACGCGTCGGCCATATCGGGGGGGGAATTTCCATGTTACCACCCCACCGCCTTTCCGACGCGGCGTTACAACCAGTAGCACGCGTCGGCCATATCGGGGGGTGAATTTTCATGTTACCACCCCACCGCCTTTCCGACGCGGCGTCACAACCAGTAGCACGCGTCGGCCATATTGGGGGGATTATAACCCAGTCTCTCTCCAAGACTCGCACCGCAGCACAAGACGACCCATCGTTCCCTCACTGCACAACATGCACCCTAACAACTGAGGGATACAGTCCCAACGTAATGGCACAACTCCACCTGAACACTACGAATCTCCAGCCCACTGTTGCAACGCGCCTCGGAGTGTCTTCACTCTCCGGGCCGTCAGGTCAAGCCGTCAGCCATAGCATGACGGGACCGCACTCTCTGAGCCATGTGAGCGCACAGCCCTCTAGGCTAGACAAGCCACGGAGTGTCTCGATCTCCGGGCTGTCAGGTCAAGCCGTCACACAGCATGACGGGACCACACTCTCTGAGCCATGTGAGCGCACAGCCCACTAGGCTAGACAAGCCACAGAGTGTCTCGATCTCCGGGCTGTCAGGTCAAGCCATCAGCCATTGCATGACGGGACCACACTCTCCGAGCCATGTGAGCGCACAGCCCACTAGGCTAGACATGCCACGGAGTGTTTCAATCTCCAGGCTGTCAGGTCAAGCCATCAGCCATAGCATGACGGGACCACAACGTTCGTGTTAGACACGCAACACTCACTGGGCCATCCTGGTCAGGATCTGCGCCCCAAGATAGGTGACAGCCAGCACCACAATTCCAAATCCCTGGCAGCATGTCACCATCGCAATTTAACACCATCACAACACATACAATTTGAATTATGATCCCCCACTGAACTAATCCAATGCCGAACAGGTACGCACAATTTGTGACGATCCCGAATATTCAATGGTCACAACAATACACTTCACATCCCGTATCCGTACACATCATCTCCGAAACTCGCATTGCAGCATGCAGCTGTACCAACCGAGTTGAGAGAGCAACGCAATGTGACGGCAATTAACGGAAACGCACCTCCGATCCATGTAGAACACAAGAGGCATTCCCGCACAAAAGACATCCTATGTGCAACAACGGGACAGGAACCAACCAATGAGTTTGAAACACACCGAACCCATCATTTCAAAATCCTCTTCAACATTAACCATGGGACTCAGGGCATTCGAATTTTGAGAGCAAAAAAAAAACTAGACAAAAACCCCAAGAATCACCTAATTGATTAATACAGTATATGCAGTATACGAAGTTCGTACAGTCAATCATACGGAGCAATGCTCCATCCAGTCCCCACATGGCAACACACACAATCAATACTCCAGACAATCCGTACATAGTAAATAATCACAAGCAAGTACCCAACAGTCCATACACTGTTAACAATTTCAAGCAAAGCTCCATACGGTCTGTACCTTGGCAACAATGACGGTCAAAGTTTCTGACAGTTACACGTGACAATCACGAGCGAAACTCCATACAGTATACACAATAACAATGGCGATTTCGCAACAAAACGATGTAACAACACGAGTCATTAACACGGCAACCTACAGGATATCAACGGAGCTCGGGACACCCAACAACGAATTAATCATTAACTACACCCTGAAGATACCGATCTCGACGCCATAATTAACAACAACACTGTTACAAGCAGACACCCGCATGGACGCCGCGTCAATTTGTCACGCATAGAACCGGACGAACACGCTCCGCAACCCAGCGAGTTAAAAAAACAAGCGATCGCAACCCGGCGCACGCAAGATGGGTGAAGATATTATTTTCCTTGGGGCCGGGTGCTTGTCATGTCACGACTCGCCTGGCAAACTGTGAATAGCGGAGGGCGGCAAGGTGGAGCACTGGGATGCCCCGAAGAATCTTGCATGGTGAATACGGCCTGCTCTTGCGAACCCATCTACCTCTCGCGCTTGAGCAGAAGACGGGGGCGCCACCCGAACGTGTGGAACTCCCCCTCCGCAGGCGTTGATGTCGGCGGGAGCGGCGTTTCGGCAGCAGGAGCGGGGTTTTGGCGGGAACAGCGCCCCGACCAGCCGCCGAGTTGGCGGGAACAGCGCCCCGACCAGCCGCCGAGTTGGCGGCCCCACCGCGTGGCCCGCATGCCCGGGCCTCCCCCGCTAGCCCCCGCAGAGACGACGGTGTCCTCTCCCCACAGCTCCATCGCTCCGTTCCCAATGGCGGCGAAGCAGCGGTGCGATGCCAGTCCTGCCGCTCCGCGTGCAGCGCCATCTCTCTCTGTCACCGGGGCTGCCATCCCCGGGGCTGTCCGAAGGATGGTCGTCACACCGTCCCCGTCGTACGAAGGCGTCCAGGTGAGTTTTGTATTTGTTTTTCGTGTGTCCATTTTACTTCCCTAGGATAACACCTAGCAATATTTATATTTCCACAACTTCTGACGCCAAATGTAGTGGATTCGAATTAGGTGCACACACACGCAGCTTGGAGGCAACACTATTTATTAAACGGTAAGTAATATAACACTGTACATGAGGTGGTGACCACCTTCCTCAACTCACTAACACTCTGGAACACAACACAGACTGGACCAGGCAGGCAACGGCCTGCCTGGCCCAGGACGACGACCCGGGACTTGAGGACCGATGATGTCTTCACTTCAGAGTTCAACAGCCTCACTCTGCGTTCACACCACGCTTATATCTGCTCTGGCGTGGCCGGCTCCGCCCAGGCGTGGCTGGCTCTGTCCAGGCCACGCCTCCCTTCCCAGGCCACGCCTCCCTTCCCCCATCTCTGGGAAGGTCCGGGTCCCTCCACCACGTGACCCCCCAGGCACCCCCTTGGGGCCCCCAGCCCTCGTACGGGCCGACACAGTAGTGACCGTTCTATGTCACTACACAAGGACAATGCAAGTATCAGAACACGTATATGTCTGGTCGAGAATTAATATCTACAGGACATTTTTGCCAGGATCAACAATGATGAAACATAAGAATAGGTTTTACCCTTTCTGGCAATAAAACAGATGTTAAGATATTCAAGCATCAAATAGATACCTTTTGGAAGGCACAAGTCCTTTTTTTATCAATTTGCATCACATCTCAGCAAATTGAAAAAGGCATCACCAGCAGCAGCTGTCCCCATGTGGCACAAGAAGACTCCGCACCGACCAGCAAGAAGATATTAGTCTGCCGGTAGAGGGCGATGTTCCTATGGGTATCTCAATTGAGTAATTTGTGGGTCATTTCCCAAATTTGATCCATGACTTGCCAGCACACAATGACCTCATTTCAAATTGTTTCAGGGGATATTTCATGTCCACTGTGAAGCAGATAGCGTATACAGTCTATTTTCCTATAACGTGGTAGTTGCGTTCCTGCAGAACATCGTGTTGTGGAAAAATGGCATTATAATAGATAATATAACATAGGATAAAGCACAGTCAGCGATAACACGTGAGATGCGTACGCAGGCCGAACAAACACTGAGGTGCGTGGATAGCATCTAGAAGCATCCAGCAGCATTCCGCCTTGTGCGATAATGCTTCGCCGAGGTAGCCGTACAACCACTTATTCCTACTCGTGCAAAGTAGTTCCATTCACTCAATCGCGTTATCTCCAATTCGTTTCCGCATTGTAAAAATGTGTTCCCTAATATATTCATTGCATTACATAAAATTCGCGTTATGAAAACTATGCGTTATCGGAGATCAGACTATTTGTATGATTAATAAACTCAAATGAGTAACCAGGGCGGCCTGCCAGATTCAAACCGCAAACCTTTTGAAACAAGCAGCGGACACGCTCCTGTTGGGCCATGTCACCACCCCGTTGTGTTCATGCACACAACTCACTCGTCTTATACATGCACTGCTCTTGTTGAGGATAAGCCTAGTTAAGGCTGCCTGAATGGATTGCCAGATATTCCATGGTGTTTTTTTGCAATTGAGCACAGAACTTTTCTTTCTTTCCAGTCGTAATTTTTTTAATTCGTTTAAAAGTTTTAACTAACATCAAAACTAGTAAGAAAAGTATTATTTTAAAAAGTAATTGGGCTCGGGCAGGATATAATCCTGACGAGAAGGGGTAGTGAGCGATGGTTAAGAATCACAATGGAGTTGCACTGAAGGAATGGAATGCGATCAAGGAGATGGAGTGATAATCAGTTCGCGTGCTGGTGCTGGATGGATTCCTGCATCGCAGGATCCTGAGAGGTGGCAGTGGCATGGGGGGGTATTCATCCGGCAGTGGATTGGGCATGGCTGATGATGGTGATGAGCAGGTTTACTAAGATAGTACCTATTCGACTTGAGGGCACTACATTATTTGTAAATGTATATGTTGCATGTTTGCACCTCCAATTAGCACGGTTGGCTACGTACGGTGCGAAAGAAGTTAGACATACATATGGACATTGCATTTATAACTACAGAGTTAATCTTTGAACTTGTTTTTCTCTCCATGCAGAACTTGGCCCTTTGCCGTAAGCGGTTGCTGGCGTGCATCTCTGAGAGGTCTTGTGTGCTAGACTTGATCGGTCACGCAACACCCAGTCGTCTAAGTCATACGACTCCTTCTGCCAAATGGAGCCCAGATCCTATTGGCCCACTGTCCCCAGGTATACACGTGGTATGGAACATGCAGATGTTTATGCACAGGTCGTAATAATAATTTGCTTTAGAGTGGCTTTCTTTATGCCGGGGTGTCTCAAAGCTTTTAATACGTGAGAAGCACCTTACATCTCATCTCAAATACTTTAAGGGTACCCCCAGTGGCAGCAGTCTCTGGAGCACAAGGTGACTCAGCACCTCGCCTGCAAGAAGGCATTTGTATTGTCAGTCAGGGAGATTCTTGATATGTGTTTTCCAATGGAGTAATTCACTCCGTAATTTTGGGAGTTTATAAATATATGTTTAACTATGATGCCAGCGCACATGGCCTACTCATTTCGAGTTACATTAGAGGATTTTTAACGTCCACTGTAAATTAAGCAGATGGTGTGTGGTAATATACCATTAAGGCACACCGCAGTATCAACCAGGGTGGCCTGCTAGGTTCAAACCATGAACCTCTGCAACAAGCACCAAACGTCCTGCTGGGCCATGTCACTACCAAATAGTACAGTACCATGTATTGGGAGTAATACTGTTACAGGACACACATGCCATGCCATAATGTCATACGTCAAGAGTACTTACAACATCGCACAGTGATTCAAGGGAGTACACAGTCCTGTGAGTCCAAAGAGTTGAGCGAGACCGGAGCCATATAATACAGCACAATCTGACCAATAAGGGCCAATTACTTCTACATATATATATAATTTACATTTGTATATCCGTTCATGTATCTATCATGCTCTTGAACTCCCAAACGCTGTGTGGGAGAACAAAATCCATAAAATATAAACAATTTCCCTTGCCGAGGACATTCCCAGGAATTTGTATAAAAGGTCTGTGAAGATGCATTGTAAATGAATGTGACATTCCTTTATTATTGTTAACGAATGTGCTGAAACAGGTAAAACATTTATTAGTCAATGCCTGTGTCCTCTCCATTTGCGCTTAGGTTGAGTTGGGATTGTCCAGATTTGGCATGGAAATTCGTCAGCGCTTCTTCCACCACACACCCCATGGTTCTGGTTATGGCTGTGATTATAATATGGTTATGGTTCTGGTTAGAATATGGTTATGGTCGTGATTATAATGTGCTCATTATTGTGGTTATAATGTGGTAGTTGTGGTTATGGTTGTGCTTAAAATATGTTTACGTTTTTGGTTATGTGTTTGTGGTTATAATTTAGTTATGGTTGTGTTTTGAATAAGCTTATGGTTGTGGATAGCATGTGTCTGGTTGTGATTATTTAACGTGGTGATGGTTATAATGTGATGGTTGTGTTTATAATTTGTTTGTGATTATAATGTGGTTATTATGGTTGTGGTTAAAATGTAGTTTTGGTTGGGATTATATGCTCCTATTGTTGTTAGAATATGGTTATGGTTTTGGTTATGGTTTTGGTTAGGTTATCATGGTTGTGGTTATAATGTGGTTGTGGTTATTTGGGTTGTGGTTATGTTGTGGATATTTTGTTCTGGATATATTGTAGTTCTGGTGGTAATGTGGTAGTTATAGTTATACTTATGTGGTGGTTATGTTTTGATTTTGGTAATGTAACTGTTGTAATGTTGAAGTTATGTGGTTGTGCTTAGAAAGTTGTGGTTATGTTGTGGTCTCAATGGGGTTATAATGTGTTGTGGTTATAATGTTCCTGGTGTGATTGTGCTTAAATTGTGGTTGTGGTTATATTTTGGCTGCTGTGGTTGTGATTCTGTGGTGATTATGCTTGTGGTTGCAATGTGGTTATAGTTTTTAAGATGCAGGTTGTGGATATAGTTGTGGTTATATTGCAGCTATTGTGGTTATGTCTCTGTAGTTGTGGTTGATGGTTGTAGTTATAGTGTGGCTTTATTTGTGGTTGTAAAATAGTTGTACAACTGTTACTACTATTTATACACGTTGTGATAATATTAACAATATTTGTTTTAATATGTTGTTGATGTTGATATATTATTGTTGTTGATGTTGATATGAACATTATTACTGTTGATAATGTCACAACATTGTTGATGTTGTTATGATATTGTTGTTGATTTAGAATTGACTAGTGAGTGTCATCAAGGAATCCATATAATTTGCAGTCACTTAAGTAATATCCTGCACAAATGCGTGGTAAGTGCTAGTACATAATAAATACATACAGGCAGACCTCGCTTGTCGCTGAACATGCGTTCCTGAAGAAGTGAGCACTCATCGAATAAGCGGTAAATGGGGTCATAATACCATTCTATATATGCAGATGCGTTCCCGACAGCGTTATTTCTTTTGTATGAGTAATATAAGAATAATTTATTACAACATCAGTAAGTATATGTACTGTACTCATGAGTGCATTCTACTGCACCCCTACAAGGCAGCGGTGAGAGGCGAGGTTGTTGGAGCTGCTGCTGCACTCCCAATCGCAGTCATTCTCAGTGAGGTTTATTTTAGGTGGAGCCTGAGAGACTTTATCCTGTTTTTGTGAGTTCTCATCTCACTAACATTGACATTTAAAAAATAAAAATAGATTTTTAAAAATGTAATTGTGACTACAAATCGTGATAAAACTAAACTCAACTATTTTTATTTTACCAGGCAAGACCCACTGAGCTATATATCTCTTTTTCATAAGCGACCTAGCCACACATTGTAGCCTAATGAAGTGGCTTATCACGTGGAATTTTGTAGCAGCCAATCGAATCTCTGGGGGTGGGGTCTGGTTGGCTGAGAGCCATGCATCAGAGAATGCTGGGGGTGGGTACATTTCCTCGGCCAGCACTGCTGCGTATTCTCACAAAAATTTGTAGGTGCTTTACAGTATAGATATTTTGATCTTACATTTTTTCGTAAACATTTTCTCCAGGACCATGAGTGCTGTAAAGAATCAGCATTCTACGGGGTCGCACTAGTGAGGTTTCCCTGTTAGTACATTTGGTTATTGTGACATTTTGTATTATACACAAAGGCGCTATGGGTATGCTGTGTAAACCCAGCAAGGACCTGGGTTTGATTCCCAACTTTGATGCCTTTATGTGTGAAGTTATGATCAACCCCTGTCCTGTGTGGGGTTTCTCCAGGTTATCTGGTTTCATCCCGTAAGCTAACAAAGCAATGCAAGAAGAGGTGTTAACTAAACATCCCAATGCTGAATTATTACCTGAAAATTAGTCACTTGGGATTATACATAGCAACATTACCCCCGACTCCACAGTCTTGGTCGGACCATCCAGACAAAGTATCTTGAGACTGACTGAGGCTACGCTGGGTAAGCAAACAATAATAATACAATACCACAATATAAATTATGTTCTCTGCATAATCTCCGAAATGCACCTGTGGATAAAATCCCTGTGCCCACGTATGTCAGAGTGCGCCCGCGTGCTGGAAGAAGCTGCACAAGGTCAGAAGGAGGTGATGGCAATCCGCTCTGAGATTAGTCACGTGATCAAGAAGGTGGCTCACCTGCAGAGCAGAGCACGCCAGCGTGTGACACAAGGTTTGGGCCAGAAGCTAGTGGAGACCAACTGCCTCGCGGTAATCAGCGCAGCACATACCACACACAGAAACGTGCACAGCTCTCACACAGATAGTCATAATGACAATGATATGTCTTTGCCCTTCTTTTTGGGGTTGCCACAGTGACTCGGAGATGTTATTTCCCTCGCCTGGTATGGAGGAGGTCGTGGGTTCGATCCCGACCCTGCCGCCTGTATATTTGGAGTTTGCATGTTCTCTCTCCCTGTGGTCGCATGGATTTTCTCTGAGGCCTCCTGTTTTTTCTTCCACATTTAGAATTAACATCACGCGTTTAGAGTATTTCACTGCTATTAATTTCTGCATGATAAGCCACTTCGTTAAGCTATAATTTGTGGCCAGGTCGCTTCTGGAAAAGAGCTATATAGCTCAGTGTGCCTTACCTGGTAAAAGAAAAATAGTTTAGTGTTAGCATCTCATAGTTCTTTACACACAAAATAAGCAAATTGCATCTCATCTGGTCTCAAATATTGAAAGAGCTCCCCCAGTGGCAGCTGTCCCTGAGGCACAAGGTGACTCAGAATCTGGCCCTGTTGTAAGGCATTCTTGTGCTAGTGGGAGTGATATTGCTATACCTTATCCCAGTTGAATAATTTTTTGATCATTTTTCGAATTGGACAAAATCGGACCTTGACGCTGGCACACAATGGCCTCTTTTCAAATTACGTCATGAGATCTTTAACGTTCGCTGTGAAGCAAACTGCATAGTATGAATAATTCACACCAAAGAAATAACCAGGATTCGTTGACCACACAGAACGCACACACCTCTCAAGTGGATGGTGACTTACACTCTGTTAGTAGCTTCAATCCAGTTGTGCATTAAAAACATTGCAAAAAAGTAGAAATCATGAAACAATGATGGATGTCTTGTTTTTTCCAGCGAGCGCTGCAAGTGAGCGCAGGCCACACACGCATGGCAATCCACCAAGCACAGAGGTGGCATGCGGCGATCTCAACAGCACAAGGGTACATAGAGGTGAGCGTGCTCCCAGTCACGCACAAAGATACACAAATCCCCCATGTAGCCTTTTGCAAGTGCTATTAGCAAGCACCTATTAAGGCTGGCATTACACACAGGGGGGAGGGGGGGGGGGCACCATGCTGGCTGCCTTTGTCTCCCAAATGCTATTTTACACACTGCAATAGGTACTCATGTCGGTGTGAGTCGTCCTAGGATAGGCCCAGGACTAGTTCAGATCTTTATCACCGATGTTGCTGTGAGTCAGACTCAAACTTGGACCACCGGGTCTGTAAAGCAGTGCCCTGACCACTGCACTACAGCTTCCCACTAGACAAGACAAAGACCCCCCGTATAGCCTTAACAGACTGTAGGGGCAAGTGCTGTTAGCGAGCACCTATGAAGGCCGGAACAGTACACGAGGGGGTGGATGGCCAGCACCACGCCCGACCGCCTTTGTCTCCCCAGTGGCGATGTTTACACACCGCACCAGGTACTCATTTAAGGCTGAGTCGACCTAGGGGAGGCCCAGGACCGGTTCAGATCATCGTCACTGGTGTTAGCCGTGAGCGGGAATCGAACCTGGGTTGCCAGGTTCATAGCGCAGCGCGCTAACCGCTACACTACCGCTCCCAAGCAGTCACGTACACACACACATAGATGGACTAATTCACGTGATGAAGTTAGAAATGGCATTTGTACTGTAAATTCAGGCACAAAAATTACGAAAACAAACGTTTTAAGTCCTGGCTTTACACACATATACTCTAAGCTGTTCTCATTCTAACTCCACTCAAAATATGTTCATTTATAATGAAAATTATTACTCTATCTACAGACCAGCAGAAGAATAATAGTGTAGTGTCGGAAGTCTCTTCTTCCTTCTCCTCGAGGCTTGTGTGTGTGTGCGGGTGGCGTGTGTCGCGCACACACTCAGTCGAAGACGAGGTGGTCGCAGGAGGCACGGTCCTTCCCTTTTATTGTGTTCACGCCACCAACTCCAGCCCCCTATCTCACGACCACGTTACCATACGACCCGGCCCAGACACGACCCTGTCTGCGTTGCACCAACGGCGTCGACCGAGACAACCAACTACTGTCCGGCCGCGTAAAGATTGGGCGAAGGCGGCAGCGAGGACAGCGACGACGAGTCCACTCCCAGAACCGGCATCCTGGAGCTTTTGTAATCCTCTTTGAGGTGCACCGAGTGAGCCAGGGGAAGAGACGGGTACTTGTTACCATTATGGAGCAGCACGGCTTTGAGGCTCCTGGATGAGCTGTCAATGAAGAGGCGCCACTCATTCTGGTTACAGGTGATTCCGATTGCCTCAAACAGACTGGTCAGATTGTAGCCGAAGCAGAGCCCATCTTGACGGGTGAAGAAGCTGCAAAAAGGTTTGTGATGCTTCCTCTGATCTGCGACTTGCACAAAAGCTCGGAATTGGACTTGGTGAGACCAAGATCTCTGATCAAGTCGTTGAGGCTTTTTTGGTTGGGGTAGTGTAATGCAAGCAAGGAATGAGGGGGCGGAGTCTGGGTCACGTGAGGAGAAGGAGGAGTCAGGGTCACATGAGAGAGAGGATTTAGGGGGAGAACCGGAAGTGATCTGGGAGTTGAGAAGGAGTGGAAACAGGAGGAGGCCACGCTGGGCAGTGGCGAGAGGGTGGCGCGATTGCCACGTGGTGGAAGGCCACGGCACCATCGGCCAGCGGTGTACGTGGGGCACAGCAGAGCTAGTGGAGTGTGGGAAGCCAGCCGGGCGTGAAGAGCTGGCAGAGTGTGTGGGGCACACAGAGCGGCAGTGGGGCTGCAGAGCGGAGCAGCGGTGTGGCTGCAGACGGAGCAGCGGTGTAGTTGCAGAGCGGAGCAGCAGTGTGGCTGCAGGGTGTACGGTGGAGGAGGTGCGGGTCTGAGCGAGGACGCCGTAGGGGCGAGAGAGAGACGAGAACTGTAAAATTATTTTAAAATTAAAAACTTTTACAATTTAATTTTTTTAAACAAATTTTATAACAAAATTCCGAGCAACAATTTTCCATCTTACCCTCCAGAGTTTTATTGCATTGCTCGCATGGGAAATGAGGTGCCCAGGGTTTGTCTCGATCCCTGACAAGCATGCCGTAATATCCGAAATATGCCTTGTGGGCCTCACACATCTTAGCAGATGCTGCCAAAGAGTACTTTTTCGCTCTTGTCTTGATAAATTGGCCACAGACATAGCAAAATGCGTCTTCCGGATGCTTGCAGCCTCTTGATGCCATTTCAGAAAAATGCAGATATGTATTCACTTAGGCAGCTGAAACTAAACTGACTTCTATTTCTATTACTGGAAAGTTCTAGAATGTTCTAGAAGTTACTCCAAGTTTACTCACCACTGAATCTATCTGGAATGTTCTGGAAGATAGGTCAATTTCAAAATATCACTGTCCTGGTCACAAAGCAAAGTTTGTGGGGAATATTAGCCATTTTCTGTACTTTTGAGCAATTGCAGAGCTAGGATTTTCAGGTAGGGGGGGCAACCCCTCCAGCAATGAAATATGTTAGGAGTTGTTAGTAAGTAAGGACTTGTCCCTTGCTTTTTATTCGACGCGTGTGCGGCGATGGCGCAGCCATCGATCGAGGGTCGAATTGGAACCGTGTGTGATCGGCATCGCGCTCGCTGAAGGTATGCCTTCAGGGAAGTCGTGTACTGTATACGCAACTGCGCACACTTCTGTGAGTCACTTATAGCTGCTTTGCCGTTACTTATTGCCAATTATGGACACAGACTATTGTCCTATCATCTCATAGAGTCCCTGGCACGTAATAATATGCTACACAGTGGCAGTGGGGGTCGCAAAATGCTGATTTATTACTAACTAGCTTTACTACCCAGCTTCGCCCAGGACTTGGATTCACCACGCCCGGCCGCCTTTGTCTTCCCAGTGGCGATGTTCACACACCACACCAATGACTCGTTTGAGGCTGAGTCGACCTAGGGGAGGCCCAGGACCGGTTCAAATAATCGTCACCGGTGGTGGCTGAGAGCGGGAATCGACCTCGGGTCGTCGGGTTCATAGCGCAGCGCGCTTCCACATGTGCAGGTCACATGACATGTGACATCACAGCTCACTTGCCGTGCAAAAAAATATGCATTATTGAGCCCCCCTCCCCAAAAAAATATACAAAAGTATATTTTTGCATTGTCTACAGTCTGGAAAGTACCCACATGGCAAATTTCAAGTTTCTTGCATGTCGGGAAGTATGCTAAACATTTGAACAGACACACATAATCACAAATTTCCCCTATATATAGATAAACCCCAATGATCTGATCGAAATTAGGGATTTTGATCGGATCACTGGCTCCACCACTGCTTTTGGGGCATAAGCAATTGGGAAATAACACTACCCAGGAGCAATTCTTATTAAAAAAAAATTGTTACACAGTGTAATATATGCATTGTCTTTGAAACTGATTGGTCCACACCAGAGACAGGATTGATCGTAGACAGACCAGCCTAAATGTTTAAAGCTGACCCGTATGCTCCTTCAAATTGGTCTGCATTTTGCATGTATAGAGAAGGTTGGGCATAACTGTGGCTGAAATGAACTTTAGCATCATATGGAGTGATAGCTCAGGTAGTTTCCACAGTGCCTCAGCTGCTAAACCGGAGCTGGTCAGAAGCACACTGCCCAGATACAGAAACTTATCCAGTCTCTCTACATCTGCCTCATCACCAATGGGCAGGCGCGGTTCGTCCACTAGGGGCGTTGGGGTGCCACCCCACCAAGCAACTGGAAATGAGAAATAATTTTTCTAATAAAAAATACTTTTCTTTAAATTGTTTTGTTGTGTTTAAAAAAATATATACATATAATAATTATTTCAACGTGAATTACCTAATGTCCATATTAGAAACTGCTGCAACACAGTCTGATTTGTGTCCCGGGGAGGTCTCGGGGTGGCTGTGAAGGCGTCCGAGTGAGAGATATCCTTTCATTCATTGCGATTAGCTTAGCATTTTAGCCACGCCTTTTGAGACCCATTCAGGGCGGTGAAAAAGGCGCCCATGGCTGTAATTGCTATGTCACAACGCGAGATTGCACTGTGCAAATATAGCAGGTCATGGCCTACATGCTATAGGCTTTTGGCAATGTCAAAGGAGTTGTGTAGTGTGGACTTTATGGTCATGGGGACAGCATTTGAGTGCTTTGTTTTGTATTATTATTTATAAATGCCTATTGTAGGTAGATAAGTCAGTCATACTCTTTGGTTCTTTCGGTAAAGTCACGTAGGTATAAAATAAATCACGACGTTTCGATCGCAACACAAGCGGTTGTCCTCAGGCAGAAACTATAATCCAGTAGTGGAACAGCTGAACTAGCGAGAGAGCAGCTACAACAAGGCTATATATGTGGCGATGGGCAAGCAAGTAGGGTCTGAGTTGGAAAGGAATTCCACCCCCGGACACAAGCACCTCAGTTGTGTTAATGGGGGATTAGGGAGAGAGGGGATTAGGGAGGGAGATTAGCATGAATGAGGCTTTGTTTGCATCCCTCTACTGCTGTTTATCTTTGGTGGGGCATGAGCTACCACCACCATTCCTCGTATCCTGTTGATGGGGAGGCGAGTCCACAGTAGCCTGGGACTCAGCTTCCCACACCTTGCCTCCACGCTCCCACACCCTCTTCAAAAATTTTGTTCAAAATCAAAACCACTCCCTGTTGTTTGGCTGTTTTCTGCCTCGTGGTGACTGGACCCAGAACTCGTCCACTCGAATGCCTGTATACCACTCATACACTCACCCATTCACCACACTGCAGGTCAAAACACATCTCTTCATGCTTCCTCCCTCTCACTTTTGGACTTTGGGATGCTTTTCCATCGTTTTTCTTCCAGAGGACTTATAGCCTTGTTCAATTCAAGAAATATGTTAACTCTTATCTGTTACATCTTTGATAATGATGTTTACTGCTGGCCACTTGACATTTTCAATCTTTGGGCATTTGCTCAGCAAATGCCATACAGTGCAAAACTATAGGGATTGTATCTCGATGTCTCAGAGCGTGGGACAAGCATATCAGCGCGTAATGACAACCGGCACTGGAAAGAATTGGCACTTTGCACATATCAGCCAGGTAAGAGCATGCAGATAAGTATTAACATGAGTATACGAGCGTGTATAGCTTTAGCGTGACATCTTCTATTTGCTGTGGTTTAGGGTCCCAAGAGATACGGTGACATTCCACTGAGAAAGCGTTTGGATCGACCCATGGTCAAAGTTTACCAGAGGCACCCGGGAACTCAGCTGCCTGAAGCAACTGGAATCTTACAGGTGAGTGCGTCTGTGCAGTGAAGCCTAGTTATTTCAAGAAATGAAGCCTAGTTATTTCAAGAAAATTACAATAAAATCCATTCAAAATAATATCTTCCAAGAACAAAACTGCAAAGGTGTCTCAACGTCGAGCAATCTGGGTGTTTTATGATCCAGCACTAGCTGATTCCCTTCAGTCACTTGCTCACTCACGGTGAATAGTCGTCTCCTTATCACTCTTATATTGCTACTACCATGGTTACTGTTATTGTCAACTTCACTCACTAATTCCTCCACCCATGTTGACTGTTTCATCATGTCTGTACTGTCTTCAAACACCACACTGCAGTTCACAACAAGTTCATTTGTTAACTTAATCATGTATCCACTACTCTTTGGTTCTTTCGGTAAAGTCACGTAGGTATAAAATAAAATTAATCACATTTATCCACTCATTCACTCACTAATCCAATGCTCACTCACACACCTAATCATATACGCATCGATCAACTCACGCACCCACTCACTAACTCACCACACTGCAGGCCACCATAATTATCTTTCTGCTTCTCTCCCACACGAAAACTTCAAATCTAGATTAGATCTCTCCCACTCCTCCACTTTGCAATTCCCTCCCATTGTCTCTTTTCCAAGCTCTTATAACCTTGTTCGATTCAATAAATGTGTTGAATCTTATGTTAGACCTTTTATTGTACTATTTGTTGCTGGCCTTTTTACATTCCGAGCTTTTCGATCTGTGCTCAGCAATTGTGTTTGAACTAAGTTTTGTTCTGATAAAATGTTTTTAACCCTCTATGGCAGGGGTCCTCAAACTTTTTAAACAGGGGGCCAGTTCACTGTCCCTCAGACCGTTGGAGGGCCGGACTATAGTTAAAAAAAACTATGAACAAATTCGTATGCACACTGCATATATCTTATTTTGAAGTGAAGAAACAAAACGGGAACAAATACAATATTTAAAATGAAGAACAAGTAAAGTTAAATCAACAAACTTGCCAGTATTTCAATGGGAACTATGGGCCTGCTTTTGGCTAATGAGATGGTCAATGTCGGGTTCCATATTTGTCACTGCTAGTCGTAACAAGTGATGCAAGTGTGTATCCGTTAGTCTAGATCTGGTTGGAGATTTCAAATGTTTCATTCTGGTACAAGTCTGTTCACAGACATAAGTGCTGCCAAAGATGGTTGCCATTTTGAGTGCATGGTTCCTGAGATGAGGATATGTCTCAGAGAGGAGAGATGCATAGAAATTATGAAGGCTGCTTGACTTGAATGCGTCTTTCAGAGAGTCACAATTCTGCAGTTCAGCCAGTTCCATTTGGTAAATTGTATCCACATTTTCAATGTCAATAGAAAATGGGTTACGGAAAAGCTGTATGTCCTGTTCATGGAGATGAAGCTCTTTAAATCTAAATTGGAACTCCTTTTGCATTTTTTCCAATGAATCCACACATGTTTTGTTGGGGAATGCAACCAATGGTTTTTCTGCTAACAGATTTTGAGTTGTGGGGAGATGGCAGAAGTTTTCCTCCTTCACTTGTTTGATGAGGAGGCCTAATTTTACTTCAAATGCTTTGACATGTGATTGCATATCACAGATGAGCTTCCCCTTTCCTTGAAGTTGCACATTGAAACTGTTGAGTAGCTCTGTTACATCTGTCAGAAAGGCAAGGTGCCATTTCCATTCTGCATCATTGAGCTCTGGTACTTCTTTGTTTTTTGAAAGCAGAAAAGCTGTAATCTGTGGAAGTAAGTCATAGAAACGTTTCACAACTCTCCCTCGACTCAGTCAACGGACTTCTGTGTGGTACAGAACATCTTCATAGTCAACATTTAGCTCAAACAGAAATTCCTGAAATTGTCTGTGGTTTAGTGCATGAGCTCTAATGAAGTTAACACAAGATACCACAATTTTCATAACAGAGTCCCACTTCAGTGATTTACTACACAGCGCTTGTTGGTGGATGAGGCAGTGTATGGCTATTGGATGAGAATGGTTATGTTTGTCCATCTCTTGGTTAATGCGAGCAATTACTCCTTTCTTAGACCCCACCATGCTAGGAGCACCATCAGTTGTCACACTGGCTAGTTTAGCCCAGTTCAGCTCCAAACCATACACAGTTTGGCAAACCTTTTCATAAATATCCTCTCCTGTAGTTGTTCCTTTGATGCTTTGCAGTGCAGCAAGCTCTTCTGTGACTTCGAAATAGTCATTCGTCCCACGAATAAAAATTAGAAGTTGTGCAGAATCACGAACATCATTGCTTTCGTCGAGTGCCAACAAAAAATAGGAAAGTTTTTTTGTGGAGTTTTGCAAATGCTGATGCGAATTGTCTCCCATTTCTTCAATCCTCCGTGTAATTGTAGGTCCTGAAAGACTCACTGTACTAAATAAATCGGCCTTCTCTGGACACATCTCTTTGGCAACAGAAAGAAGGCATTCTTTAACAAATTCTCCCTCCACGAATGGTCTGCCAGTGCACGCTATTAGCTTGGCAACTTGAAAACTTGCTCGCAGTGATGAAATATTTAGCTGCTTCTGCTTCACAAAAGTATTTTGCTGAGTTGTTAATGTATTTTTCAGTTTTAATATTTTATCTTTTCTCACTTCTCCGACCAAACAATCATATTTATCTTTATGTTGAGTTTCATAGTGTCGACGTAAATTGTATTCTTTGAACACAGACACTATATTCTGGCATATCAGACACACAGCTCTTTCCTTGTACTGCATGAAAAAGTAATCATAAGTCCACTGTTCTTTGAATATCCTACACTCCGAGTAAATTTTTCTCTTTCTTGACATCATTGTTTCCTAGGGAGTCAAAATTGCTATTAGTAAAATACCAATATATATACAGCGCTACAAAAACAATATACCAGCAATAACTTTGCCCACACAGAGACATACAGACTGCACTGCCCATCAATGCAGTCTGATTGGGGGGAACTCCGCCCCCTCTCACTCTTCCACCAATGACCGTCCTTCTCATGCAGAAAAAAAGTAACAGACAGGCAGCGGCGGCAAAAACACCCGGCGGGCCGGATAAATGTCCTCGGCGGGCCACATGTGGCCCGCGGGCCGTAGTTTGAGGACCCCTGCTCTATGGCATGAATACAAATCGACACACCTATCACAAGGCATCAAGTCTGCACGAACCCATGCATGCTTGTGGTGAAACGTGCAAACAAATATGCTTTGATAACGCATGCATTGAACGTGAAACACCAGACAGCCTCTTTTATGGCTTTGTCTCACCAGTGCTAGACCAAAGGCTGCAAAAAGACGAACAGTACAGGAGTTCATAATATACGTTTTTTGGGTTAGATTGCGTAAATGTAAATGTGGCGTTCAACCCGTCCACCTCACAACATTTACATTTGGGGTTTATTTACATATCAGTTTACCCTCCAATCCACCAGTGTACTGAACTAGTAACTATTGGGCATGTTTTGTTTCCTTGACAAGCTTTACTAATTGGCTGTGTTGGGTAGTAGCGGGTTAAACAACACATTTATATTTATGCGATCTAATTTAACAAAACCTCTAGTATGTGTAATAAAGGACTCTCTCTCAGATGTCAATCTCCGTTGTCCTTTATTGGGTTCGTAGAATCTCGATACCACGGCGTCCTCGCTCAGGCCCGCGTCCCTCTCGACGACCTCTCCACAGCCCCTCGGCTGCTCCGATATGCAGTCTCCCTGCTGCTCTGATATGCAGTCTCCCTGCTGCTCTGTTAGGCAGTCTCCCTGCTGCTCCACCTTGCAGCCCCACCGCTGCTCCGCTCTCTAGCTTCACTGCTGCCCCGTATACAGCTAGCCTCCCACAGCCGCTAGCTCTCTGCGTCTGACACCGATGGCTGACGGTGTCGACGTCTCCCACCGCGTGGTGACCGCGCCACGCTCTCCGTCCTGCCCAGCGTGGCCTGCTCCCGTTTCACTCCGTCTCAACCCATCCTTCCCCTTCCGCTTCTCTCCCTAAATCCTCTCCCCCCACGTGACCCTAACTCCACCCACTCCCCATGTGACCCAGACTCCGCCCTCTCTCAATCCTTGCTCGTATTACATGACCCCCCCCCTAATGAAAACCCAGCCGTCCCCGGCTGCAATAATTACAATAAAATAATGCAAGCAATATTGTAGCCATCTGACATCACTGGACAATGGAGAATATAAGAACGATAACAAGAACAACAAGAACAATAACAATCAACGAAAGGAAAGGGATTTGGAACGCGTGCGGGTCGCCGGCCTGTCCCGAACGGGCGGCGGTCCCCCCACAGACCGAGAACGCGACGGGGTTTTGAGATTGACGGGAGTAGAACCGCCCGCCGCTGTTGGAGGCCCGTCAACGCCAAGGTCCCGTTTCGCAGGGAGACCCAAGTCCGGGGTCTCTGGCAACCGTGTCTGTGGTGGGGTTGGAGGGGCAGCGGGGTCAAGTGGCCCCATCGCCGTGGTAGGCCCACCCAGAGCAGGATTCGCCACATCCACCTGCGTAACGGCTGGTTCGTCTGTCCTGGTGGGTCTTTTCGCACGATGTCCGTGGTCGAGGCCTCTTGCTGGGGCGGCCCCGGGATGCGAGCCCAACAGTCCCTGGCGAAGTGGCCCTTACGGCCGCAGCGGAAACACTCCACGTCATTCCGGCGCGTGGCACCCTCTCTGTCCCGACGCTCCCGCGCCGGCGGGCCGGACCTCGGCCCCGTCCCTCCCCAAGCAGGCCACTGGACGGAGGCGGCCGTCAACTCCTGCGGACCCTTGTCGTCAGGAACGTAGACCGCCTTCGTAGGATCCCACCCCGTAGCACCGCCTTCAACGATGGGTCCCCCCGTCCAAGCTGACACCTGCTTCCAGCGTCGGAGATTAAATTGAGCGTCCAAGCACTTAGCCACAGCACGGGACGTCAATTTATCATGGCTGCACACCGGCATGGGGATCCCCAGGTCTCTAGATAATTCGAGCATCTTGCCCAACACGAGGGGCTCCAACAAATCAGGCTCCGTCTCGGGGTATGCCGCCATTGCCAGTTCCAGAACTGCGCCTCTGAAAGCCACCGGCGATTCATCAGGCGCCCGTTGGCACTGAACAAATCTCCGATGGGCGTCGTCCAGAGGCTCATACGCATCCGCCATCTCCTCGAAGACACCCTGCAGCGTCTTCTTCTTGTCGGCCTTGATGGAGCGGAAGAACCGGACGGACTCGTTGTCGAGAAGTGTTGGTAGGACTTCCAGGGCCTCCGCGTCCGTCCATTTGGCGGAGCGTACAGCCGCTTGAAAACGGCAGGCGAATGCGCTCCAATCGCCGCCGATTGAGAATTCTTTGACCGTTGTTAAATGATGGCTGCGGGTTCTTGCTCCTCCGTCCTCCTCCAATGGTGACACGCGCGGCAGCGACAAGATGGCGTCACTCCGCAACGTGTGCAAGATGGTGGCTTCCCGCGGCGGAGGGCGCAAGATGGTAGCTTCCCGCCGTTCCTCCTCGGCCATGCCCAAGATGGCGTCTTCGTGCCGCGTGGTCGAGAGGGCTGATGGCGACGGCAAGGCCCCGGCCCGTTGTTCCCCGCCGGGCCTCCCCGAAGTCGTCGCCGGCGTCACAAGGACGCACAATTGTGCCAACACTGTCTTCAGCGCCTCCAGTTGTGCCGCCACCTGTCGCCATCCATCCTCAGCGTCCAGTCGCGTGGATGGGCCCACCGAGGCGGCCACGTCCTGCACGGCTGGAACCCCGCTCGTCCCTGCTCCGCTTTCCTCCTCCATCGTGGGTAGCGCCACCACTGGAGGGAGGTCGTCGTCGGAAGATGTTGCCGAAGATGGTGCAGGGACGGTCTTCCTCCTGAGCTGTTTTGACATGCCGTTTCACTTCTGACACCAATGTAATAAAGGACTCTCTCTCAGATGTCGATCTCTGTTGTCCTTTATTGGGTTCGTAGAATCTCGATACCACGGCGTACTCGCTCAGGCCCGCGTCCCTCTCGACGACCTCTTCACAGCCCCTCGGCTGCTCCGATATGCAGTCTCCCTGCTGCTCTGATATGCAGTCTCCATGCTGCTCTGTTAGGCAGTCTCCCTGCTGCTCCGCCTTGCAGCCCCACCGCTGCTCCGCTCTCTAGCTTCACTGCTGCCCCGTATACAGCTAGCCTCCCACAGCCGCTAGCTCTCTGCGTCTGACACCGATGGCTGACGGTGTCGACGTCTCCCATCGCGTGGCGACCGCGCCACGCTCTCCCTCCTGCCCAGCGTGGCCTCCTCGTGTTTCACTCCGTCTCAACTCCCCCTTCCCCTTCCGGTTCTCTCCCTAAATCCTCTCCCCCCACGTGACCCTAACTCCACCCACTCCCCACGTGACCCAGACTCCGCCCTCTCTCAATCCTTGCTCGCATTACATATGGATAATATTGGTCGCGAAAGCCTACATGTTAAACTGAGTACAACAGTTATATATATGGATATAGCAATTACATATCACACCATTTCTCTTTCTGCTTCTTCCCTCCCTCCCAGTTATATTTTTATAGTGATATATATATAACTTCTTAACCCGAGCTATTCATGCTTTGGCGTTTGCATCAACCTTGTGCTGTTCGAACATCTTAACACCTGTTTTTATGCCAGAAAGGGTAAAGCCTCTTATTTGTTATCATCTTCATACTGGCAAATTATCCCACAGATAGGTTTTTATCCATTTGCTGTCCATGACCGTAAACGTGTCTGTGCGTGTGTCCAGGCAGGGGAAGGGCTGTCCCATTCTCTTGCTGCATGCAAAGGGGACCTGGAACAACTCGTGAGCGCTCAGCACATGTTAGCTGCTGACTTACGCGACAAGGTGGCTGCCACTCGGGTAGATGCAGAAGCTGCTCGTTTTAGAAGGCGGTGTGCCACCTTCCGCTACTAGCAGAGTAAAACATTCACCGGCACACGTTTGCCTTCTCAAGAATGTCAACAATCTGAGCATTTGTTGATTGTGTGTAATTTAAAGTGTTTAATTGTTCTGACAATTCCCTCATATTGTTAAATTCTCTTGATGTCAGATACAAATTAGAGAGCGGCACGCTTAGATTTTTGCCTTTAAACATAAATCAATGCTATTGGCGTGATGTGCAGAGTGTTATTTTCTTCAATATCATAACATACAGTACACACCCAGTCCTGTTTCATTGTTTTAAAGTAATTATACATTTCAGTATTGCAAAATACTTTCAAATATCTTCATTGTTACTAAATGTTGTCATTGCAGTATAGAAAATAAAGAATTGCTTCAACAGTAGCTCTTGATTGTGTCATTCATGATTCATTAACTGCTGGATGAAGGCCTCCCCAAGTTGTCATCGCCTCTCAATGTATCAATCCACCCAGCCCCTGCCCACAAACTGAAGTTATCACTCCATCTACATAGTGGATGTGCTCTCTGGCGCATTCCTCCTTTGGCTGCCAGTCAGTTGTTAGTCCTCTGCCACTGGCCTTTTTAAATCCTTTATATTAAGTTCACTTGCTTGCTTACGACCGTGCAAATCTTTCGGTCGTTTTTTAACCCTCTTCCCGTGATCCAATCGAGCTGACATTTTGCACACAGACTCGTTGTGCATGACAATTTATTTGCGTGAACGTTTTTTTCCATAACTTTACACTTTTTAGGAAAAAAAATTATATTTAATTACCAATTGCTTAATGGTGGCAGACAATCATCTGACCCATAGGTGGCAGCCATCTCAAGCCAGAGGACGAGAGGACTCTAGCCGCCACGCATATAAAGGATTTATAGTGAAAAACTTTGTTTTTACGGGTTAATTTTTTCATTTATAGCCATGACATACCCCCCAAACCCACCGTTCTTTACAGTCAATTCATGTGATAAGTCTGAGGCCAGAGTTAGGGTTGTGGTTTTTATAGGACATGTCCTACCCAAACCCACCTTTCCTTACAGTCAATTCATGTGACAGGTCTGAGGCACAGAGTTATGATTATAGGTTAATGGTTATGGCTGGGGGTTATGATTAGTTGTTATGGGTTTGTGTTGTGGTTTTGCTTCACCCTCTGGTGGAATTATTTAGTTCTCTACACATTGTCAAGTGTAAGTTACTACAAACTCGACCATTTATACATTGATTAGAATGGGATTTTTCCAACATAAGATGACTGCTTGTTTAATGCTGACTGCCAATACAAGATGGCTGATTATTGTAATAGATAAATGTCTGCATTGAATTCAATGCAATTCTCATGCAGTGTTAATTTTCTTTATAAATAAGAGCAATTACAGTGGAAGCAGTCGTGTAGCGATTAGCGCACTGCGCCTTGTACCCGACAGCCCGAGTTCGATTCCCGCTCACAGCCACCAACAATAGCAATTAAACACGACGTTGCTATTTAAGGTTTACTGTATGATTCTGAATGGCAATGTCGGAACTGTTATTTTATAATAATTCTTATGATTAGGTTAACTGCATCAAAACTAGTGACACTTTGCAGGGCTTGAGGTTTAGGATTACTGAAGGGGTGGAATGTTCCGCTCGGCCGACACTCCCGCCGCTTGACCGAGGGACAACGGCACCCGATGGGAGATGTTGAGTGGCCATGCCCAACCGACAGCGCAGGCCCAGAGAGAGGGAGGAGACCACGCCACCAAGAGAGGGATCTTAACCCCCTAGCTATAATCCCAAGCACTAACCCCTAACCATAACCTTTAACCTGTAACCATAACCCTGACTTGTCACACGAATGAACTGTTAAGCAGGGTGGGTTTGGGTAGGGCGACGTCGTGCAGGTGACGCGCTGCTCGGGCTCACAGCGGCGAAAGTGGTGACGGGCTGAGCTGCATCTGCGTGCCGGTAACTACCTCACCTCCAAAGTGCCAATGACCGTCAGGCCCCTCAATCCCTTCCCACTCGCGGCAACCGATCTGTGGTGGGCCCTGTCATGGGTGAGCCAGGTGTCATAGGTGGGCCTTGTTGTGGGTGGGTCTGAAGGCTACCATTTCACCGCCAGAACTACAAGGCTGTGGTTTCTGAGTGAAGGCACCATAACGCGAGCGACAAGATAGTCCGGGTTCAGCGGCGTGAAGGGCAGAATAGAGCCCGCTAGAGAGGGAGGGAGTTGCGCCACGGAGGGCAAGGGTCTTGCCTATTGTAAATCGCCAAGTTTTACAATCGGTGAAATGTTAACTGCATTGCCTGGCATGCAGGAGGTTGTGGGTTCGATCCCGACCCTGACTTCTGTATATTTAGATTTTGCACATTCTCCCCCTGGTTGAATCAACATGCTTTTAGAGTATTTGGCTCCTGTAAATTTACAATTGATAAGTCACTTCGTTGAGCTATCATTAGTGGCCAGGTCGCTTCTGAAAAAGAGCTGTATAGCTCAGTGGACCTTACCTGGTAAAACCAAAATTGTTTAGTTTAATTTAACACGTAGGATTTCGCAACCAATATCATCCATAATACAGGTTTTTTGGGTTACATCGCCTAAATATATGTGTCGTTATACCCGCCACCACCTGACACAGCCAATTAGTAAGGTTTGTCATGTAAACAGAATATGCCAATTTGTTACTAGTGTAGTCACGCTCGGACAACTTGAACTGTAGAGGTTTATTTATTATTTAGGACGCTCCAAGCAGGTAACTTAACTTGGACAAGGATAACGCACAGATCGCTTGGGCCAAGGATAATGCACAGATAACTTGGGCCAGGGATGGCATGCAAGTAGCGACGACGCGAAGACAGCGACGACGCGAAGACAGCGACGGCCCGAAGACAGTGACGGCATGAAGATAGCGACGGTGTGAAGACAGTCGACCCCGATCCCACAGCAGCCGGAACCCTCGCCTTTCACCCCTTTTTAAATCCTTTATATTAAGTTCGCTTGCTTGCTTGCGTGCTTGCTTGCTTGCTTACGACCGTGCAAATCTTTCGGTCGTTTTTTAACCCACTTCCCGTGATCCAATCGAGCTGACATTTTGCACACAGACTCATTGTGCGTGACAATTAATTTTCGTGAAAAAATGTTCCAAAATTTTACACTGTTTAGGGAAATTTTTTTTAACAATTGTTTAATGTAATTCAACCGACGTCCGCAGAACATTTAGGACAGCCGAACAGCATAAATAACTGACCCAACGACCGACAAACCTTTAGGGCAGACGAACTGCATGATAAACAACCCGACAACTGACGAACATTAGGGCAGATGAACTGGCATGTAAAAAAAACACCCAGCCATGACCACGGGAGATCCCTTAGTGGAAGCGTAGGCACTTAGACTGGGTCCTTGATGCCGGTCCATCGCTCTAGACGGATTTCTGTACCTCTCCGGGTAACGGAGGCTTGCCGCAAAAGCCTTGAAGGGGTAAGCTCATCCCTGGACTCTGCGGAGGTATTTGACCGGGCTCCAGCCAGCGGTCCATTGCACGTGGTAGCTTCTTGAGGTTCCCCGGGCTTCAGGGGCTTGGAAACTGTGGGCCGCACAACGCATTTTTTATGAGGCACAATTTCCTTGGCCGATTTTCCTGGCTCATTGGACACACCAGACATCGGCCGCACAGGGCTTGGGGGTGAGCTGCCAGCAGAAGGCTGAACATATGGTTTCAGGCACGACGGGTGAATGAACCAACGGCGGCGCCTGCCTGAATTTGCGCTCACTGAGGCCTTCTGACTTCCACCACCTCGTCGGGACCCTGCCATGGCCGATGTAATTTGGGGAACGTACCCAGTGACACCTGAGGGAAGTATAACCAGACCCTGTCCCCGATTGCCCATTTAAGCACGTGCTCACACCGCTCCGCGCTCTTTTCGTTAGCTGCTTGCGTCTTGGCAGTATTTTCTCTGGCCGCTTCACGAGCTTCAGAGTCACGATGCAGCGTGACCTGCAAGGGAATGGGTATGGCTGCTTTCTTCTTCCCCGAGGCCATACCCAATTGTGTCTCAATGAGGGGCTCGTTTTCCCTCCCGTACATGAGAAAAAACAGGGAGAATCGCGTAGAGGTGTGTGGAGCCATCCTGTATGCTGCCAAGACTCCCAGAACGTCTAAATCCCAATCCGTTTGTGCCTCATTATCTGCCTGACAGAGCATCGATGTCAGGGTTCTGTGCAGGCGTTCCACCACACCATCCGTTTGGGGATGGTATGGCGATGTTCGAATCTTTTTTGTGCCCAGCACGTTGCACATTTCACGCAGCAGCTTGGACGAGAAATATTGGCCTTGGTCCGTGAGAAGCTGCTCAGGGGCCCCCTTATCTCGTTGCACGGTTCACAAAGTTTTCCGATGCTCGAGGTGCATCAACTTCTCTGCATGCACTGCCTGTCTTAATTTGCTTCACAGGGAGGTGGGGACCACAATACACAACCGTCGCGAAACCTCCTGCCACCTCATCAGCAGACCTTCCAGAAGGACGAGACTCCCTTTGGCCCAGGGTTCTAGTGGTCAGTTTCTGCGCGGTGCCGCAAGTTGAACAGGGAGACATCCTCCATCTGTAGTTGGCCCCTTTCAGCATACATGAGGCCTAATGTGTCATCCCTATGTGCGACTGCCATGGCTGGTGGCGGGTCACTCAAGGCTGCCACGACCCCCGGTGACTCAGCCATAGGCTGTTTACACCAGCCCGCACCCGACGAGCACGCGCAGCGTCTGTTCAGCGGCAAGTGAGATAATGCATCGGCATTACAGTGCCTCACACCCCTGCAGTAAACCACTTGGAAGGAATACTCCTGGAGTATTTCCAACCAGCGTGAGAGCTGGCTGGAATGCTGGTCCACTCTCAGAGAGTACTGGAGGGCCGCGTGGTTCGTGTGGACTACAAAGTCTCTGCCATAAAGATAAGGCCTGTACTGTTAGATGAAGTACACCATGGCCAACAGTTCCCTGCGGGTGACACAGTACCACTGCTTAGCGGTTGACAGGGTGCAACTCTCGTATGCGATCACCCTCTCTACCTTGTTCTTCACCTGGGACAGGACAGCCCCTATGCCCATGTCACTAGCATCCGTGTCCAGTATGAACGGCAGGGAAAAATGTGGGCAATCAAGAGGAGGCGCATTGGAAAGGCAATCGCACAGCACGGCGAACGCGACCTCTTCCTGGCCCCATTGAAACTTCATATTTACCGGTGACTTTCAGACCACGTTCCACTCACTGGCATGGTGCAGTGTGCAGAGTAATGTATGGTGTCGTAATTGTACAGTAAACA